GTATTGAGTGCTGGAAAGGAACATACGGATATCAAGAGTGCGATGATTATAGACTTCTTAGAGATTACCCAACAGGAAGATATGGATACAGAAATCACAATAATTTTAAAATCAACAGAACTCGTACATATTAAGCTATTTACTGTACGGAATGGTGTAAGAGGAAAAATAACAACAGAATAAATGTCATTCAGTGACATCCCTGTTCATCGGAAGACTAGTATCACCTCACACTGGAGTTACGGGTTATGTACAATGCGATCTGGAATAATAATCAAAGGCAATTGTAAAATGAATACTTTGCAAGTTTGTTAGAACACGATTCGGATGATATTGAATATTTAAACCTATAAAGCAACAAATAAAGAATTAGGAGCGTTTAAAGTTTGTAGTGCAAACCGGAGAGTTATTACGTTATTACTTATTACGTTGTTTCAAATAAAACCAATTTAGCTTCCTGGAGTAATAGGTCGTATTTCATTTATCTTTTAAAAGGAGAATTATTTTATTTCTTTTTTGTAAGGACACTTCTACTGCTCTCAAGTTATTTTACACCAGTTTGTATTTCTTCTGTTATTTAAGCTGTCTCTCGGATGGTTATTTGAACGAAAGAAGTAGCTTGAGTAGGGAAGGCATAAGATGTTTACTATTTCGACGCACTTTTTATTATGCTCTTTGTTAAAGCAACATAAAAAATATTAAGTGTTGCAAGAGTCTCACCACGCAGATGTTGTTTTCAAAGAAAGCTCCTACTGATACTTAAAGTGTATAGGAAAACATAAAAGAAATAGGCAGCACTTTTATCAATTTAAAGATCTTTGTACTCGATGGATGTTTTTCTAAAAGAAAGCGCCAGAACATAATTTCATGGAGGTACTAGAAGTCGTTCTAAAGCCTTTCTGGTACGTTGGAATTAGGCAAGTCTATCTTACTGCTCAGTACTTTTACATTACATTATTTTTAATTTAATGGAAAGTGTAGAACTGTAATCTGTTTATCAAACAAAAGTAAACATATGTGTATAAGCTATTGTTACACAATTAACTGTATTGTTAACTGAGGCTTTAAACACTCGAAACTGTGGTACTGTAATATATTATATTAAATAAAAGTAGTTTGATATAATAAACTATCGTCACAGAATTGAATGTATTATTGACAAGCATAATGCAATTAATAAGTGATAGTGAAATACAGAGAAATGTAAGCCCTTAATTACCATCCATGTACACTATTTAAGCCCTTAATTACCATCCACGTACACTATTTAAGCCCTTAATTACCATCCACGTACACTATTTAAGCCCTTACTTACCATCCACGTACACTATTTAAGCCCTTACTTACCATCCACGTACACTATATAAGCTCTTACTTACCATCCACGTACACTATTTAAGCCCTTATTTACCATCCACATACAATATATAAGCCCTTACTTACCATCCACGTACACTATATAAGCCCTTACTTACCATCCACGTACACTATATAAGTCCTTACTTACTACCCACGTACACTATATAAACCATTACTTACCATCCACACACACTATATAAGCCTTTACTTACCATCCACGTACACTATTTAAGCCCTTACGTATCATCCACGTACACTATATAAGCCCTTACTTACCATCCACGTACACTATATAAGCCCTTAATTATTATCCACGTACACTATTTAAGTCCTTAATTACCATACACATACACTATATAAGCCCTTACTTACCATCCACGTACACTATATAAGCCCTTAATTACCATCCGCGTACACTATTTAAGCTCTTAATTACCATACACATACACTATATAAGCCCTTAATTATTATCCACGTACACTATATAAGTCCTTAATTACCATACACATACACTATATAAGTCCTTAATTATTATCTACGTACAGATCTATCCTGTCATCTTTCTCAATATCATTCCTTAACTGACAATGGCCATTTAACATTTTGAAATAACGTGTTGCACCTACAATCAGAAATATGTGTTGTTGTTTTTTTCAAAATATAATTTTGTTAAAATTGATTCTCGGTATTATTCAGACAAAATTATAAGCCGTCTTTACAATCCAAGCCGGTTAAGAATGACGTTATCTATATTATCATGTATCATGACATTTTATGATAATAATGTGTCTATATATTAAAATCTTAATGCATATTATTATCACAAAATTATTTCGTTGTTTGAGGCTTTTCACTTAAACTAATTCACGTATTTGCCCTTTTAATCCGTTTCTCATCTAAATGATAAAAAAACAATGACAGGAGTACTTTCTAATTATTTCTGGTTAAAGGAAACAAATATTTCTTAATCAGAAAAAGGAAGAACTGTGCAAATTAAAATAAGATACATTTTCGTAACTTCTATAAGAAGTTTACCAGATTGTTTTCCTGCTACTTACGTTTCCTGTACAGTTTCGGCGTTTTTGTTAAAAAAAAAGAAGTTTCCAGAACAAAACGTTTCAAGTAATTGGGATGAAAAATGTTCTGAAAGTTTTTAGTTTTGAAGTTTGCTTCTTTAAAAAAAACAATATAATTTACATAAATCTTAAAAACTAACAAAAATCAAAGAAGATAAAGCTGAACTACAGTAAAACCATATTTTGAGTGGGTTTGAGAAAGTGTTTGAAGAGTTATAGCGAATATTTTCGCTAATAGTAACTAAGGTTGACCGTTTGACTTATGACTGAAGCAGCGGGTTGGCCCTGTGGTAGATAGAGCTTTGGATTTCGAAGCTGACGACCACGTTTCAAAACCGTGCGATTCTACAAGCTATTACCTGCACTTTAAGTTGTGAGTGCGTTCTATAAGAGTCACAGTCAATCCCATAGCGTGGATGGTAGGATGCTAGTCGGTAGCTCAAAATTAGGATCGGCGGAGTATAACCTTTGTAGCTTTGCCATAAATGTAAACCCTTGAAATGATTTTCTTGAGTGTTATAAATTTACTCACACCTTGAATTTAATTTATATATTACGGTCATTGATGAAACAATGATACCAAAATATTTGATTAGTTTTGTTTGTTTGTTTGTTTTGAATTTCGCGCAATGCTCCTCGATGGTTATCTACTCTAGCCGTCCCTTCTTTAGAAGTGATAGATTAGAGGAAAGACAGTTAGCTAACACCACCCACAGCCAACTCTTGGAGTACTCTTTAACAACAAATAGTGGGATGAACATCTCTACGGCTGAAGAAGTGAATGTGTTAGGGTATGGTTTGTTTGTTACGGATTTCGCGCAAAGTCACACGAGGGCTATTTGCGCTAGCCGTCCCTAATTTAACAGTGTAAGACTAGAGGGAAGGCAGCTAGTCATCACCACCCACCGCCAACTCTTGGGCTTCTCTTTTACCAACGAATAGTGGGATTGACCGTCACAT